TCTCATCTTTTTAAGTGGGAGAACTTGCACAATTGGTGGCTGACTAAATACTTTTTTGCCCCACTGTATATCTTTATAAAGCAAAATTTTAACAACACAATTAATTTGTTACTACAAATTTTCCACATTATTCATATGCCATAAAAAACTTTGCCAACTTAGGGCCCTGGTTAAGGAATTATTGTGCATTTCTGATGCAAGCCATTGTGGCAATTCAGAATATTTGCCAGAGTCAATTTCAATGATCTTTTGTCACTTAGCAAGGTCAAAAGCAAAGTAACCACAGCTCTGCAAATGCTGCAACCTGACCCTTCTAACCTTGGCTTTGCATGTCCCTACTCATAACAGACATCATGGTATCTAATAGTGTGATACTCTGTATCACCTATGCCCAATTCCATTTAAACTACAAGAGTATAAATCAGATGTAATGCAAGTGTCTTGTCAGACGTTGTTGAATGTATCTTTTTTTTAAAGACATGGATTAAAATTTGCAAATGAAGCCTTACTTAATAAATATCAACATTCAGCCAAAACTGAGATGACCACAGATTTCAGAAACAAAGATTACTCTTCAAGGGCACTTCACTGTTTTAAACATACAGAAATATCCAGCATCACTTTCAAATGTGTGAGAGCTTTATTTATGATTAAAACTGAAAGAAAAATAATACGTGTAATAACTGTTCAACTAGAAGAGGCAACAGGTCCCTGCCACCCTAGCTGACCTCTGCTATCTTCTTGCTCTGGCTGCTGACCAAGCACGCCTGGCCTGGTCCTTCGCGAGGCAGCTGCTGGCTGCACGAGGCTTTCTTCCCAAGGTTGTGCATGGAAGTTTTCCTTGTGAGACCTGGGGAAGATGGCCTCATGAGTTCAACAGCTGCCTTGCGAAGGGCCAGGGCGGCAGGGGCCTTGGGGTGCAGGGTGGTGACTGTGGCTGGGACTGGGCTGGAGCAGCTTCGCACTGCAATTGCTGGGGCTTCCCAGGCATGGCAGCTTCACATTGTGCTTGCTGGGCTTCCCAGGCATGGTGACTTTGCACCACACTTGTGGGGCTTTCTGGAGAGAAGGCTTTGCTCTGCCCTGCTGGGTGGCGGCTTGGCACCACTGGATGGTGGCTTTAAATCATGCTGCTGGGGCAGCTCCTGGGACTTCCTAAGGTGACTGAGCAGCTGCTTTGTGCTGCACTGCTGGGCCAGGCTGGGCTTCAAGCTGTGAAGGGTTTCATGTTGCACTGTGGGTCAGGGGCTTCTTGCAGTCCCAGAGCCACAGCGTGCCAAGAAGTCCCTGAACTGCAGTGTGCCAAGCAGCCCCAGAGTTCTGGGGCTGCTTGCCGCCCCACAAGGCAGGGTGCAGGGCAGCCAAAAGGCTAGAGATGGGTGGGAGATAGGCGTGTGCGGGGAGTTGAAGGGGAGGCAGTCCCTTACCTTACCAAGGCTCAGGGCTGCGAGGGACTAAGTCTGGAATGGCTTGGATTAGGATGGGTACTCAATGAACCACGATTCTTGATTCATGACAGCAACAGGGATTGCCATCGCTAAGTGATGCAGTCATGTGACATCACACTTTACAACTGCATCACTTAGCGATGGAAATTCTGGTCACAATTGTGGTCATAAATCAAGGACTACCTGTAATAGAAAAAGTGGAGCTTGAACACTTTCTGAAATATTTCTTACTATGAAAATTTAGAAAATTTACCATTCATGTTGATGGTGATAAATGCAGATAGAGAGCAGGAAGTAAGTACAAAGGTGTCTATGTACAAGTAGTCCTCCCTTAATGACCATTCATTTATCGACAGTTCAGTTATGACAGCCTTGGAAAAGTGCTTTATGGCCTGTACTCACACTTGCGACTATTGCAAAACATCGCACCACTCCCCCATGGTCACATGATCACTATTTGCAACCTTTTCATGATGGTCATTAAGCGAATCACATGGTCATTAAGCAAATTCCAGCAAAAAATATCCATTGGGGAAGCTGGATTCACTTAATTACTACATGATTCACTTAACTGTGATTCACTTAATGACTGTCGTAAAAATGGTCGTAAAATCGGTCCAGTCATGTGGTGACTCGTTTAATGATCACCCCACTTAATGACCAATTTTCCAGGCCCTATTGTGGTCATTAAGCAAGGACTACCTGTACTGTGCTTCTACAAGTTATTAATTGCACTGATGTATGCAAGTGATGCTATTATTTTGAAAGAGATTGGTTTCTAGAGCTTTAATGTGTATGTGAGTTCTGTGTGTGTGGGTGTCCTTTTGTTGTATCTGAACAATGAAACATTTTTGAAGGCATTCTAAAGTTCAACAAGAGGATACAAGAGCATGGCAGGGTGGAGAGGTGAGTGTACCCCCCAAAGCTTAGCAAATTAATATAAAGTTTATTTTTATATTTTCTATACTGTGTATTTATTTATTTCACAATGTTTATAACCTGCCCCAATCCCAGCAAACTGTGGGTGGCAGACAAAAATACACAATCATAAAACCAAACATTAAGTTAAAAAGGTGACACCCCCCTACTAAGCACCAAAGGCTCACTGAAACAGTATAGCCTTGAGTTGCTTAGGGAATATCAGTTGGCTTAGCATTGGTTCTTGTGTCATGTTAATATTGAGTTTTCAGGATACATTTAAAAATGCAAAACCTTTTCTTTGGTTGATTTGCTGAGCTTTATGTGTACTCTGTTGATATTGAGCTTTGGAATACATTTAGATGAAGTTTTTCCATTTCCATTTCCCTGATAACACAATATAAATATAGTAGAGTATACTCTTTGCTGTTGCAATGTTAATGTTATTCACCTAAATGCAGGTTTTGTTTATGGCTTTTATTAGCCTAGCAATGACAATAAATGCAGTTTTATAGCACTAATTTGTAATCTGGGGAAAGGAGGCCAGGAACATTTTTGCCCTTTGTTGTGTATCTCCAATCAAGTGCAGACTGCAGTGGAATAGTGTGTGCTCAGTGGCAGGAATCAACAACAAAGTCCAGTCTTTTCTTTCTGTAAGAATCCACAGAACACATCAAACAAGAATCTCAATATGAGCACTGTCAAAGTTCACTGCCTGCATAGTTTCCTATGCTAAAAGCATGAGTTGCTTTTGAGTTTTGTACCACTGTTAGAATATTTGGTGGAGTTGTATTCTGATTTTGAAACAAAACACATTTCTATTTCATATACACCTCTATTTTTTACTGTTTATCTAAAAGCTAGTAATAAAGAAGCCAACTTCCCACCCATCACGATCCTGTTTCAGGCACACAGGTATTCATGTGGCACGAAATAAAACCTGTATTATTTAAAATCATAACTAATCCTCCTTTAAAATGCAATAATGCAATATGGCATGGCTACATGAACCAAGTATTTGCTAACATGTGTATGTTGAGCATAAACATACTACAACAGAACTAGTTCCCAAAGTTCCTGGGATCAGTGATTATTCTGATGTTTTGTCCTTTCCATCTGCTGTCTCTCTGCTGAATATGCCATTAGGAATTCTGAGAATGCTAGGTCTGACAGGGCACAATTTTTTTACTTGATCAAGTTAAATGATTTAATCTAACTGGACAAACACATTTTCTTTTTTTCCCAACACAGGCCTGAGAGAATAACTCACTATCTCACTATTCAGAACACTGCTTGTTCTGTTCTTCTGCTTAGCATCAGCAAATTTCACTCTTTCTAGGCAACAGAAACACCAATATAAAAGCATAAACTGATAGAGAATGGCACATAGATATAGATGTCTACATTTATAATCAAGTAGATAATACATAAAGATAATTATAATTTTTCCCCCTTCATGGTAATGCAGTTGCAGCTTACGCAGGGTCTTTCTGGATTTCCAGGTCCCTCTAAAGTGCACCTTAACATGACTGACACTGTGATTGAGTTGGTCATATCTTTCTATCTGAAGAATAATTCAGAAAATGTATTACACTGGCATTAAGTAGAATAAAAAAAGCATCCTTTATTATAATATTTCTGTAAGACTTAAGAATATTCTAAACAGGTTATAAATATTGCATTATTAAAAGCATTTACAGAAAAGCCAACAATAATGGGGTGATAAATGGAAATGCTGAACAAAATAGTTTAAAGTAATAGTTATCAATATACAGTATTAATAAAAATGTTACATTATTCCAAATTTGGAAAAAAGGAGAAAATAAGAACATTTGGAGAAACCCCCAGTGAATACTTGGCAAAACTACTATGGCTGCAGAATTGTGCCCAGACCTCTTAATGGCTGGAAACAGTTGATAATGAGGTCTTACTAGCAATATACAATCAGCTAATTAAAAACTGCTTTATGCAAAATCCTAATAAAAAATATTTATATACTATAATAAGGGTAAACTGCTAACAAATCTAAACCATTTACAGTCCACTAACTTTAGAATTTTTGTTAAAATTCAGGGCACCACAATTAAAAATAAGTAGTAAAATTGATTTATTTGCTAATTATATCCTCTTCTCCCTTGCAAATTAAAGAAAATCGCTGAAGGTAACATTATATGTAATCAGCATTTTTGGCTCTCATATAGGCCCTTAGATAAATTTGCAAAAAGTAGAGATGCCTTCTTATCTGTTAGAAAACCACAACAAAGAATTACAGTCTTGAATCCATTGTCAACTAACCAGCTGTATATCCTATTTGAGAATGAAATTATTTTATATCCAATGGGGCACTGAAGGACCATAAGACCTTTAAGATGAACTATTCCCACTGACTTTGAAAAAAAATATAATGACATTAATAATTGGTCTAAGATAATACCATCATAGTTGGATAGCTTTGGGCCAGGCATTCTTTCTCAGCCCTAGGAAGAAGGAACTAGCATGACATTTCCAAAAAAGTTGCCAAGAAAACTGCAGAAACTATTCCAGGCAGTTACCAGAAGTCAAAACATAAGTACAAATTTCCTATGCCACCTAGAGGTGCATTTTTTAAGTTGAGGAGCCCATACAAGTCCTTCAATCAATCAATCAATCAATCAATCAATCAATCAAACCAACCAACCACTGGAGAATATTTTATGTTATTACATTAAAACCTATTTCTAAAAAAACTAGGGAATTAGATTTTAATGTAATTCATAAGTGTTATTTGATCCCTATGAGATTGCAATACACTTGTAAAAGCAATTTTATGTTGGAGGGAAAATTGTGGACAGACTGGACAGACCAAAAAGGTCTGGTTTGATATCTTTCATGTATACTGTAGAATTATTAAAAAGAGATGGCCTCTTTCTTCTTATTGGCCCTATTATTAGTATCCAATTACTTGCATATACAGCCACTGGATAAAGTGTTATTGACAGTTTTTGACAGTTTGCAATCAAGTTACAGAAGAACGTAGCAGGATATTCAGTCAACCAATGGTACAAAAGAATATGGGATTTAGCCTTACATGAACACTTAATCAATCAGTGGAGGCTGACCAGAGATACTAATGGCTCCACAGGGAGACAGAAATAATTTGACAGGGAAAGTTGGAAAAGTAGAAATTATGTTTTTCATACAATAATTCTAAATCAGATTTTTTAAAATCATAGTTTGCGCAACAAACCATTGTGGGTTGTTTACATATAATGCTAAGTCATAATGGGTGGGTTCACACATTATGCTAACTTAAAAAAAAAAGAGTATGGATTGATGTCATATATAAACTTATGTATCTTTTAATTACCATTTCAAGCACAAATTCTGAATAAATCTTTCAATCCACATTAACGATACAATGTATTGTTTACAAATAAGTTAATACACAATTTGGAGTCCTTGTATCCTAGCATTAGATAATTATGCCTGAAATGAAAAATAGTACACACATTTCCCCTAACTCCATTTTTAAAAGATTCAGAGACAGAGATTATTTTAGCAATGTGTTATCTAGGAACTAATCTACAGGATTCCACAGTAGTACATAGACAACCTAAATACACAACATACAGGTAGTTTTTGTTTAGCAATTGCCTCATTTAGCGAATGTTCACAGTTACTTTGTGACCAATCCTCACATTTACGACCTTCACAGGTCTGTAAAGCAAAGGAAAGCTGAATTAAGATCATAAACACAGGAGTGGTTTCACGTAGCAATTGCTTTGCTTAACAACCGAGTTGTCAGACCCAATTGTGGTCATTAAACAAGGACTACCTGTGATATTGTTTAAGGTTAGCTCTGTTTCTTTGGCAAGGAGCTTTATGTGGAGAAATATTAAACTAGATTTAACAAGCTCTCTTATATTCCTAAAAGTTAGAATACAAGCTTGATACAACTATAAAATCTCTGGATCTAGACTGCACATTAAGATAGATTATTTTATCTCAATATTATTTTATTTTTTTTCAACCAGCTAAATCATGTAACAGCATTTCAGGTAGCCTTTGAATACAGAAATCAAAGTGAGTGGAATGCTAATCTGCATGAAAACGTCCCAACAGTTTGTATTTGATTAAAGAGTTCCTTCTCTTCCTTGTGACTAAGCAGCAATCAAATGAAAAGTAGCTGGAAAGCTACTTTTGTGCAGTGTTAATGAAGCATAGCTTAAGAGGAGAAGGGGAGTAAACTGTGGATAAAGGACTGTTTGTTTGCAGATGAAAACTATACAAACAAATACTGAACAATCTGCTTATGAAAAGTTACAATCATGACATAGTTTCTCTCCTATAGTCAATGAGGTCTCCTTTGTTCAGTCTACTTTTGATTTTTATATTTTTTTTTCATGAACATTTAAACATGCAGGTTTGGGGGAGGGGGGACTTTCCTGTACCCTGAATCCTACTCACAGGACTCTGCAGTATCTGGGTGACTCTCTTTCTTTGTTCCATCATGTTGAAGTCTTGCCTGAGGTCGGGAGACATATTTCTTTCACGGATATAGTCAGGGTCATTTTCATTGATGCGGTCAAAATATCTCTCTTTGTGAGGCATGCTGGATGGTGGAGGGGTTGTGATTACTCCCTGGCTAATCTCAGTACTCATACTTTAATCTTCACCTAGAATAATAAAAAGCCACAAGAAATTTAATGGTATTTAAGAACAAGTAATCTAATTGACTTTACAGACATGAATAAATGTTATCCCAGAAACAGAAAGTAAAATTACGATATCCTTAAAAAATATAATTACTAACTTTTTAGTCATACATTTGTGATAACATGATATATGCATAAAATTACTCACAACAGGTAGAAACAGTTCAAATTCACAAAGAAAAGTGAATGGGCTGGACATTAGCAACAGTAACTACACATGAATCCTATGTATGGAGAAAGGGTGTGGCAGGACTACCCCCAGTGAAAGAGGAGTAGCTTGTACACTGGCATCTAGAAAGTCACATGATTCACTAAAATAAAGCTAGTTTTTTTTTAGAATATTTACATAGTAGTTTTCTCCCATCTATCTATAGTGGAAAAGATAACTTATTATTCCAGATTAAGCTAAATGATAATGCTTGAACTTAAAAAAATATTTTAAAGGATATTTAATATAGTATACAATTCTGAATAGGATTATTTAAATAATCACAAATCTATTTATACACCTTAGCAAGTATTCATGATTTGTGGTTAAACAGAATATTGGGCATAATTTTTTAATTACCATACTGCATACCATACTACTACAGTATACCCACCATGAAGTGATAACTCTTCTAACAGCTCTATAAAGCACAGGGAAACATGAACCCCCTTGTGAAAATAATGTAATATTCAAATTTTGAAAGGTCAACACAAACCGAAGACAATCTTCATAAGACGAGTTAACTAAACAAAAAATAAGGTGAGAAGAAATCAAAATGTGGGGAATGTGCAAGGTGTTACTCTAACAGACCTTACAGTCAATAATCTGAATTGGAGATTCAAACAGAATTGTCTCCTCCCAGTCCAGAGGTCTTTGGAAAAACATGACTGATGTTTCAGGAGCATCAAATTTCCTTCTGCCTATTTACCTCCCACCCGCCTGAAACCTGCAGGTGGCAGACCTTTTTAAGATAAGGCACTACATTTTTCTTAATCATGGGAGCATGAAGCTAAGGGAATGCAGTCCAACTGGCAGACTTATTGGGCTTAACTTAACCCCTTCCCTCATGCTGTATCTTATCACTCATTACATACATCTTATTTCTCAAAATTCTCATACGTATGTATTCATTAAATAATTACCACAACTTTGAAATTTGTTAGAATTCATTTGAAATCAATTGCTTGAGTCTCAATTATGAAACTCTGGTTATTAGACTTATGTATGGAGCTGAAATAGCAGAATGTTTATTTGTATCCTGAACTCTATGGCCTGGAAAAATTAATTACAATATATATAAAATTTTATAAGTAAGCTGCTTTTCCTACGAAATAACCCCCCTACTCACTGCCAAATATTTTTGTATATGTAGGGAATGACAAAAAAAAATAAATCAGTATATTTATTTCTTTAATCATTTTTAACTGATAGCAACATAGCTTTGTGTGTGTAAGCCAGAGCTGCACAAGAATTCAGTCCCACTTTGCCTGGATAAGCTGGCAGCAGGACCATGTTCTGACAGGGCTCTGCTTTGTGTGCACATAGGGAATAAGGATCTGATTTAATGCTGAACTGGTACCTGGCATCCTCAAAACTACTGAGGAGGAGCTCATTAGTTTTTCTGGGGAGGAACAATCACACAAAAATAATTTATCATCTTGGAAGTTATGGCACCACAAAGTTGAGAATCCCTGATCTAAATTGTAAGAACATCTCCATTTATGCCTGGCTAATTAATTGCTTTTGGAAAATAACTGCCATGCTACTTTGTAATAATAGGAGCTGTAGCCAACACAACTGGAAGATACTACATTGGAGAAGACTAGTTTCATCCACCCTTAAATTCTACCCACCCCCCATTGTTTTGGTGAAACATACAAAAAGAAAGATTTGATTTTTTTAAAAAAATTATTAATAAGTTGCCTTTAACAAGAAAACATGGACAGCTAAAATAAGTAATTTTAGGTTCCTTGGGGACCTCCTAGGTATGCAGGTTCATGAAATATCTTACCCCAACTGGCCCAATATAGAATATTTTTATATGGAGCAATATCTCTTACTAGGAATGCTTGCAAACTGTCTTCCTACATTACTGATGTGAAAGTATAAGTTCTTTTTCTTGAAAACTTTTCTTATATTTTAAAAATTCATTATATTTACTGGAGTCCCCAGATTGACATAATTCTTTACACTTGGATCTCAAGCTCTTTTTCCCACTATAGCACTCCTGATCAAACCAGGTAGTGGGTTTTAAGACCGCTGACTCTACAGGTTTGGCTTTAGAACTACAATTACTGATTAAACTAGAGTAAATGAGGAGAGCTTCTTCAATCGAATTTGACTTGATTAGATCTGACTGCAGCCTTATCATTGGATCCGACCCAAGTAAGGTATGAAATTCACTTTCTAGGGCTGTAAATCAGCTAATTCTTTTGAGGATATTCTCTGAGTCTCGACTGTCAGAAAGCAGTGCTCATTCGAAGTTTGACAGTTCGAAGTTTACCTATAGCCAAAGGTAGATGGTCACTTTCAGTGTGAATTTCAATATCGAATGAGATAATATCTATCAGTAAGCTAGGCGAACAAATGGCATAATCAAGCACACTTTGACCTCGAACAGATCTAAAAGTGAACCCCTTTGAGGCTGGGAAAAGACATAAACCATTGAAAATTATGCATAATACAAAACTCTAACATCTTATTCCCAGCAATATTAAAAGCTGCATCGCTAGATGAACGAGGTAAGCACAAGATCGGCGGTAACCAGCTGTATAGGGCTATAAAAATTAATGACAGCAAATCTTTTTGGAGATTAACTTTGAACAATCTCAATGGCAATCTTTCCTTTGCTGACCCTGTGATCTCTCCCCAGCAATGGGTGGCACATTTTTCAACACTGTATGATGCCCCAGGAGTATCTCACATTGAGGCCAACAACCCTATCTCTACAGATTTACCACTGTGGCCCCCAGTGAGTATAGACGAAATTACTGAGTTAATTGTCAACCTAAAAATAGGAAAATCGCCTGGTCTGGAAGGGCTTCCAGCCGAGCTATTTAAAAAACATATTAATTGGTGGGCCTAGCCACTAGCTATTTTGTTTACACTTACTGACCACCATGGTGTAGTGCCAAATGCCTGGCTTAACTCGATAATAATTCCAATTTATAAGAAAGGAGGGTTTGATCAGCCTAGTAACTTTCGACCTATCAGTCTCTTATTAATTCTGGGTAAGCGTTATGCTAAACATCTTGAACCCCGTCTAACTGACTGGATGCATTTAAATGACATAATTGGTCCTAAACAGATAGGCTTCTGTAAAGGAAACTCTGCTATTGACCATTGTCTCATACTGAGTTTCCTTATAGAAAAATATCTGAACCCAGGAAGGAAGAAGCTCTTCGTAGCATTTATTGATCTCAAAAGTGCATTTGACCTAATTCCTAGAGATTTATTGTGGTCCAAACTGACGAATCAAGGAATTGACCTGAGACTTTTTCTTCTAATAAAGAAACTCCATACGACTACCTCCTGTCAAATAAAATATTCATCCAAGGGCCTCTTAACGGAGAGAATACCCATCCAGAAGGGAGTTAAGCAGGGCTGTGTTCTTGCCCCCCATCTCTTTAACCTCTTTTTGAATGATTTAGCATACTCCCTTAGTTCTATTAATGGTCATCCTCCCAAGCTTGGCAGCCTTCCCACCCCACTACTACTTTATGCTTGATGATACTACAATTCTCTCTTATACAAGAATGGGTTTGCAAAGATACTCAAATGCATTTTATAACTATTGTCAGTACAACTCACTACTAACTATTCTAAATCAAAGGTAATAACATTTGCCAAAAGATGGTGCTTACAGAGATGGTTCATGGATAACAGACATTGAACAAGTCAAAAGTTTCAAATATCTTAGCATTACATTTAGTTATAATCTTTCTTGGGTCACCCATCGCAATAAGACAATTCACCTGGCTAATTATTTGGCTGCTCAGATTAAACAATTTTACTTTACAAGAGGAAACCAGTATGTACCTGCAGCGATTAGAATATTCAATGCTAAACCTCTTTCTCAAATTTTATATGGTATGGCCATTTGTCTGGGAGCTCTTAACCGTAAAGTAGAGGGCATTCAAGCAACCTTCCTGAGGCAGCTTTTGGGGTCTCCCAATTGTGTCTCCTACCTCACAATCTGTTTAGAAACTGGTCAACATTTGATAGAAACCAAAGCCTGGTTAATAACAATTAAATATTGGCTTAGGATTTTATTTAGAGCTGCTCCTCATAGTCTGTTACCACACCTTAATATGGATAAATATATTTTGTTCTGGTCTCGGCATATTATGTCTAAACTTAAGCAAATTGGGATAGCAATTGATGATTTATATTTATCGGATGAAACTTATGTATTTGGAATGATCAAACAGAGATTTTTAGATTTAGAATATCACAAACTCAGACCTGCTCAACCCTGTTTGTTTGCCTTCCATGCTAGGTATAGAAACTTATTTGGGTAAGATGGCACATTATTTGTATGATCTTGAGGTTCTATCTGTGATGGAATGGAATTATGAAGGCCAAGCTCAGGGAGACAAACATTTTCTTGGGAAGATTGATGTCAGGCCTA